TTAAGGTGTTCCGGGGTACTAGCAAAAACTGGCTGAAATCGCTTTAAAAATGCCTAAAACCCCACACGAACAACATATTTGTTATACAAGGGAATTAAGGGAAGGCGTTTTTATTGTATTTCTCTTGACTGCCGTATTTATTGCTGCTATTTAAGCTCGTTAATTTTCCATATAAACTTTTAATCTGTTTCCATGGCTTCGCAATATCATCTAATGATGTTCAAACAATGACCTTGGGATACCTGTGGTGTACACAGGTTAACCTGTAAACAGGCTCCGGCTGGAAGGAAGGGCCGGGAAGGATCTGGCCGAGACTGGAAGGGCTGAGAAAGAAGTGGAGCTTTCTTTTCCAATTTCCCGTACTTTTACTTGCCTCTCTCTTCGCCCTATGTTCGACTATAAAGTCTGTTCACAAGCTAATTGTGACACAATGTTTGGTGCTGTCCAGCCAACAGGAATCTGATCGGCAACAGAACACGTGTGTTTTCCTCAAACGACAAAATGAACAGATGCAAGAGGACTGCGATGAACTTAATGAACAAATACAGAGTTTAAAGGTTTATAGATTGGTATTTTTTAATTATTTTAAATATAAACAAGTGTTATTCAATCTTTTGATCCTGTTTGGAAAAGACAAGTATTTCATTATCTATTGCAATGCTGTTGACTCGATCCTTTGCTGATTTGTTTCTACACCGCCATAAGATAGTGTCATCTGTCAAGGATTGGCGACAAAACCAGCTTCTTTCATCCCAAGGTTGTGACAGGGGGTGAGGTTAGGAAATGGTCAGGGTGATAAAAATTCTTCAAAGTCAGGGAAAAGTCAGGGAGAACAATTTTGAGCCAGGAAAAATTGACATTTTGAAGAAAGATGGTGGTAAATTGAAATTGTAACACCGCTAATTTAATATCATTGAAGGCCAATTTGTTGAAAACTCGTCAGTCTTGAACAATTATGTGGAAAGGGAAGAAACGCTGCAAGGAGGCCACTTCTATATGTGACATTTTGTATTTAGTTGGTCGGGGTTGGGGAAATTTTATTTTTATCAGGGAAAAGTTCAAATTTTGAAGACTTTCGACTGTGGCGGCAATCATCATTTGGTTTTCCTTATATTACACTCATTTATCACTATGTTGTCTTTGCAGGTTGAGGTGGACTCAATGAGAGATATGGTGTCCCAGCATCGACGAGACTTCGAGTCAGCCAAGGTGAGAATCAATTTGACATCTATGATAAATAATCTGTAGGCGAGTCGAGTTAACTCTTCAAAGGTACAAAGTACCGCATACCACCGGAGCTTATCCCGGTTTCAGTAGCATGAAGGCGAGCTGAAGTTCCAAAAATATTTTTTTGACGTTCTTTGAAACTTGGCTTCAGATCAGTTGCAAACAACAGGAATTGCTTATTACAGACGTCAGTTAACTTTGCACCTTTTTTTTTTAGGGTGAAGTGGAATCTACTAAAGAAGAGATGACAAAACATGTGGAAGAAGCGGAATTAAACAAGGCTTCTCTCAGAAAAGAACTAGACCTGGTATACTGTACCGTAACTTGGCTTGCTTGTTAAGCTTTTCAGTGCTTACTTAAACATGCTTCTTGCAAAGAAATTGAGAAAACTGAGTTTTACATCAATAACTTATGGGCCTTTCACAACGGAACTACTCGCTGTACTAGCATCAAATCCCAAACCATGTTCTGCTTCTTTTTTACAGGCTCACAATACAATCATGGATCTGCAAAAACGAGAAGAAACTTTATCTCAGGAATTACAACTCAGGCTAAGGTTTGCACGATTGATTGATTGATACTTTCCCTTTAACTCGAGACACAAGAACACACGGTGATACCGCATGAAGGGGAACGCGTTGCACCGTAATACCCGATAGGCGCCGGCATATAAACCGGGGATATTTCTACTTCTCCTTGGTTGGCATGTTACTCCGTCGTAGGGTGAGCCGTAAACCCCCGACATTAAATCGCCGGTACCCATTTAGACACCAAGGTGGAGAGTGGCAGTGTGAGAGGAATGTGTCCTTACACATCACAATGACCCCGGCCGGGGCTCGAACCCAGACCGCTCTATCCGGAGGCTAGCGCATAAGGCCACCGCCCACTCTACAAGTTTTCTGTAGTACAATCCTTTCTGCGATGTTTTTCTTATTGTCACTAGTAATCAGAAGAAACAAGATGAAGAACTGGAAACGGTTAAAGCCGAAATGGACAGGTAAACCTTTCAAACTTGTTTCCGTCTGAGAACCAGGCATTCAGGATACGTTATTCCCTGTATTCCTTCAGTTAACTGCAACAACAACGTCAGTGGCAATTTGTCATTTATTTCTGTTTAGAGCAAAATGTGAACAGCAAGATACAGAAAGAAGAATGAGGGTTGAACTCGATAGGTGAGAATGTCATCATTTCCTCATTGATATCGGAACCTGTTTCCACTCGTAACTAACACTGCGACAGAGGTACTGCAGTCGTACATTGTGACAACATGAATACATGCGAAAAAGGGGAACCATGACAATAGATTTCTCATTATTAGCCCGTTTAAATTCAGCTTTAATTTTTTTCTGTTTCAGGCAAATAAAATCACTTGAAGATAAAGCTGCTAAATCGAAAGAGGAATTTGGAAGGTGGGTACCAATTCTGATTACTTTCAAAGTTGAAACAAAAGAATTATCAAGTTTCATGATTCAGTTTTCTTTTCTTCAAAAGACGTCTTGTGGAAACCCAAAAGAAGTTATCACAAACGGAGATCAATTTTGAGAAGTAAGTACTATACACAAGATATATTCTCTAACAGAACTTTAGCAAAGTTCAACGAAAAGTTGTTTTAAAAGTACAGTTATAACAAACCTCGTATAAGAACCTGGATTTTTCCAAGTTAGCCTAAACAGGTTCTTATGTAAAGGAGGTCTGAATGGAGAATCATAGACTAACAGGATCTTCAAATCCAGGTTCTTTTACGCGGTTTTATACTGTATTTTATTGACCAGTGATTTCTTCTCTGGTTTTCTGCTTCTTCGTTTTCTTTTTGTTTTCGAACCAATGTTTGTATCTTAGAAGATATCTTGAAATGCATAATCTTGCAACTTTTGTCGTAATGCAGATTTAAAAGCGATCACGAACTGAAAATAAAGGAGAGAGACAGAGAAATGGAAAGGTAAACTTATTTGACATTTGACATTATTCTGTTATAACAGTTTTGTATTTTTACAAACTCCTTGCATTGTGACATTTCAGGAAGCTATTCTCCGCAGAGGAAGAAGTAAACAGACTGAAGTCTGATTTATCCAGGTTAGAATTTTTAAATCTACCTTACAATGTTTAATACGACTCTGTACAAGATGAAATGTCTTGCGACAATTTCCAACTTCTTGGAGTCCGAGTGTGTCTTAAGAAACGTTCTTTTAAACTTTGTAATATCAATTCATTGACAAACTTATCCGCCGAAAAAGGTTAGAATTTATTAGCGGTAAATTTGCACAATAAATAACTTTAATCTTCGTTTTTTTTTTTTTCTCCGATAGCAAAACCACCAATGAAGGCCAGTTGAATGAACTGAAAGCTGAAATTGAAATGTAAGTAATCTATGAGTAGGTGTCAAATTTCATAGCAGAGCAGAGCCATGTGATCTTTTTAAAATTGTTATCTTTCAGGTGGCGAACTAAATACGAGGAACTATGTGAAAAAATCGAACCCTTCAAGGTCAGTTTTCGAGTCTTGCATGTTTATGAGCGATTTTATGCCTACTGAGTACCTACGGGGGTAGGGACAGTATGAAGAGAGACGCTTGGGTACGAGGTTGCGTTCAAATCCTGTCGTTGTTTTTAACTCGTCTTTCTATCCTTACAGGAGCAGTTAGACGAATTTGAAGCTGAAAGAAATGCTCTTCTTTGTCAAAACAGTCAGGCCAAAGATGAGGTAAAACCCAGGAACATTGCTTCGTTCCCTGTCCACATGATAACTATAGAAAATTGAATCTATTTATGTCTTACTTCTCGCGTCGATTAGAGGTTGTTGATTTGAGCACTGTGGCTATTTTGTGAAAAATAGAAATTGATGTCGTTGGTGCTGTCCTGTACTCAAAGCAGCGATTTCGTCTTCCACTAAGTGCTCTTTACAGAAAAATTGAGAAGTTTCGCTTGTCCTCTCTGATAAAATAAGAATTAAAAAAACTAGACTATTTCAGTGTCATAAGTATTAAGCGCTGTTGAGCTAAGTGGAGACACTGTAAATAAATATATTGCAAATGAGTAGAACATAAACTATTAAGAATCCCAACTGGTGGGAGGCTGAGCAATTGGCTATTTACACAACGCGGTTGAGGAGTTGAACTCGGGGCTACCAACAACAAATCCAAATAGCGGTAGGGTTGAGGATTTGAAGTAGGGACCTCCAGATTTCAAATCCAGCGCCCTTTAAAACCACTCGGTCAGTTCATGACTATTGACTGAATACTAAAAGAATGAAGCGAAACCTTTTATCCGTGTCTTCTTTTTACCTGTTGCCATAGGTTGCCAAACTAGGCCAGCAGTATGCCAAGTTACTAGGCCACCAGAACAAGAAACAGAAGATTCATCACGTGGTAAAACTGAAGGAAGAAAATAATAATCTCAAAGCTGTAAGTATTATATCCGCTGACCACATGCGTTACAAATACAGGTACAACATGGCTGCTGGTTTAACCGACATCTTCTGTTTGTGAATTGAGCCTGGGTGAAGCGCAAACTTTCACGACTCTGTACCCTCATTTCCCTTATTTTAATACCATCTTTCCCGCCGGATCGCTTTGCTCCTCGCCGCTCGCGCGTGTGACTCAAAGGTGAGCCTGCTCGCAGGCTACCATAGCATAGGGTAAATAGAGCGGTTTTCAATTGAGTGTCGTAACACCAAACCCAAACCAATTGCTTACCAATTAGACTACTCAGCCAATTTCCAACCATTGCAAAACTAAAACCAAAGTAATTGCCTGATTATTTTCGACACTCAACTGAAAACCGCTCTAACCTAAGTTCGCTCAAATCTCGTTTAAATACCCCAGGATTAGAAGAAATGACACTCTGGAAACAATGTTTGAAAATCTTTATTCGGTGAATTACTCATACATTGATTAACGCTTCGGTCGCCTGTTATTACTTCTGACCAATCAAACCAAGCGCAACAAGCCAATCAGAACTCGAAACTAGAACACGTGACCGGCGCCAAGCGCTGGAAAATGCGCGTCAACGACGTTTGCGACTGGTTTTTTTTCTTGCTCCTGATTGGTTGAACAAAAAGCGTTGTTTTGATTGAGGAACGGGTTGCACCGGTTTTATGAACGGGTTATGGCACTCAGCAGTGATTTCTTTAGTCAATGAAAAACCAACGTAATCGTAATTTTCTTTCGCAGGAAATAACGAAGCTCAGAGATCAAGCTGAAAAACAGAAAAGGGCCATGAAGAAATTGGAAGAAAAAGTCGATCAGGTTTCAGGAAAGAGAAGATTTAATCCTGCCGAGGCTTTTTCTCAGCACAAGAAAGAGAACATGCCTCTTTCAGTTCTTTCAAATGGTTAGTACTGCTGGAATGTCGCCATTTTATCGCCTCCACGGAGGGTAGGGGTGGGGAAGTTGTGGTCACTTGTACCAAAGACAACTCCTTTCGTGAAACGACGTTTAGAAATTGCTTTATTCCTAGTTTTGAATCGCTGGTTAATATTCTTTAGTCTAAGCCAATTGCATCAATTTTTTAATCTTGTTGACTGTGCGCAGATAAAATGTTCGTTACCAACGAAGTTCGCGCGCATTGCATGAATATAGACGACGGTTTAGCGAGCATGAAAGCCGTACCCTGTGATTATTGTTGTTGTTGTTTTTTGTTCAGTTTTGAAAACCCTTTTTTCTCTTTTTCATTTTATGCAGGAAATGGAGCGGTCAAACGTTGACGTAACCTAGCAACCCTCGTCTGAGTCTGTAAAAATCGTCATATAAAATTAAAATATTTTTTTACATACAAGAAGATTCCTAATGCCCATAGCTGCTAATCTGCGACTCATTGTTCACAGCAATCGATGAAAGCCAGGCACTCGCTGACAGCGCATGCTTTATCGTCAAGATCATAAAGATTTCACAGTGCAGTTGGACCCCGCTAACTGCAACCGGGTTTTTCCAGTTTCCTGTTATTTCGAACTCAAAATCATTCCCGTTAGATTTGCCCTTCAGACACTTTCTATCGGCTATTTTAACTATTTCTCGTTTCCCCTGAGAGTTCGAAATAGAGAGGTTCAACTGCATTTCGCATTTGCAACGTTTTGTGATCTAAATCCCTTTTACTTTCAAATATAAGGCCTAGTTGACGCTGGCGACAGTGACATAGTAACAGAATCGCTTATGTCGGTAATGTGAATATTGACATAAAGATATCAGGGGAAGATCAGTTTTTCTTTTCTTATGTCTTTATGTTCATGCTTTTATGTTGCTATTATGTCATTATGTCAGGATGTTCACACTGCAAACATAACGACATAACGTCCTGCTTATGTCATTATGTCGCTAGTGTGAAAGCGTCAATAATTAATGAAGTAGACCATATGCAAAAATGATAACTTCTGTGAAAGAAAAGAAAAAGTTGCCATATTCACGTTATTTGGGAGAGTACTGACCTAGTAATGGGATCCTTTTACGAACATCAAAATATATGAACTTGGATTACTTTATTATAAATAGTTTGCAAGAAATGAATCAATACATATATACGTTTTATCGCATTCATTCATACTTGTGCAGTGAAGAGGCCCTTTGCAGCTGGGGTCACGTGACCAAATTTTTCCCAGAAAATTTTTATATTATGGGCTAAGTATAACTTAAAGAATGCCAGAAATGGAAAGAGCGCGTCGAAAATACTAAAATGGCCAAGTTTGAGGCCCCCTGGAATTAAAGAGTAAGTTTATACGACTGTTTGAATTTTCGGAAAATTTAAAGGATTTGTATATAAAATGTTGCGGGAGAATCTTCTTATTCTTTTAAAAATTCGGACCGTCATAAAATCTTCTTTACTGACTGGGGCCTCAAACTTGGCCATTTTGATATTTTCGACATACTTTTTCCATTTCTGGCATTCGTTAAGTTATAACCCATAATTTTATGAAAAATAGGTCACGCGACGGCTCAGCTGCAAAGGGCCTATTGTCATACTAATAAAAAGGAGAATAGCAGCTTCAATGTATACCGTCGTATTGTTAGAGGCTTTTGCTGATAGAAAAATGTTAAAGTGCAGTTAACGCAATTTTTTTTCAATCTACTAGTTTTCCTCATAACCTTAGCCAGCGAAAAAAATTCCGCGATATTTTTTCAACGATTTTGAATCATACTATCGCATGTTCGCATACATTCTTCTCAGAAGCAAAACATTGTTATTCCTTGGATGACGTCACGGGCCAACTCGTCCCATTCTTCACTATTCCTCGGTCCTAAACATGGCAAAGGCCAATTTTACGAAATTGGAAAATTCATAGGAAATTATCGACAATAGCTGCAACGATATTTTTTTCGCCGTGGTGGTCAAGAAGACAAGGAGACATATAAGCGAAAAAAAAACATTTCTGGGGTTAGTTGCACTTTAATGACAGATTACTACTTTTCCATTGTTCTTTGTATTGTCTGTGAAAATATCATTTATTTGAGTGAAGACAATACCGACATTTCTGTGCTGTTATTACATATAAATTATTTGAAGATTTCTTAACAAATTGAAGCATTTATCGTTAACTTTTGTAATTATTATGATTTATAAAAGAAATATCTGCAAATAATTGAAATTTTTCTTTCTTCTGATTTTGTGTTAATATAAAGCTTGTACGAAGTGCATGGCGCAATGCATCCTAGACCTTTTCATGTTGAAGAAAAAACAATCCGCTCAACCAAGTTAACCCTGTTCGGCGGGGTTCATACTTGGATGGGTTACCAAATACGAATACCCCGTGTTGTAATAACTTCTTTTTTTTTCTTTTTTTGGGTTTTAGTCTTGAATTATAAATGCCCAAACAAATGGGGTTTTTTTAACTTTTTTATGGCTTTGTTGTGATTTCCTTGAATTTCCTTCGGTGAAATCTTCCAAAATTTTCACAGCACATCGCATCCTGTGGGGTACGAATTTTAAACACGAAAAAAGCAGGGCTTGTACTGGCATTTTTTTCGATTTTTTGCAAATTTTAGTCTTTTACCGCTGCGAAAAAACTGCCGTTATAGATTTCCCTGAAAAACGAGTTCCGACTAAAGGAAAATATTTACCACCAGTCTGGCAAATTTTACGGAATTTCACCGAAGTAACCGCAAGAAAATTCACAGTCAGTTTTGCTTTTTGTGCTCGTGTTGACGTCATAAAATATCGAAAAACACAGACGTTTTCCTTCGAGCGCGCGCAGATTACTTGGGCTTTCGTCCTCAGCACGAGTGCGATCGTTAAACTGTAGGGAGCCACTTTAAACAAAGAACTGTATGCATAATAAATGTATGGGGTTATACGGAAATCTTGCCGAATGGAACAGCGTATATCCAAGTCTCGATTTTTCATGAAACAATTCTATGCCGTTCGGACAGAAGCTTGAGAACTTTGTACTTTCCGTTCGGTTTTGAAAGTAAGTTTCTATAACGAAAGACACATTATTTTGATATGGATAACAGTGAAACTCTGAAGTAAAATATCAATACATTTTCTAACAGGCATCGTTCTCGCCATGCGGCAGCCAAAAAGCAATCGTCTGGTTTTGACTTCGCGAGTCCGCAAGTATATTGAAAGGTGCAGTAAACGCGCTCGATTGCAGCGCCTACAGACCTCTACATATTTCAACAACGAGAATTTATAAGAGAAATAAAATTTTGACCTGGAGTGGCTAGAGGAATTTACATCTGCGTTACGACTTCAGTGAAAATTCTACCCGATCGGCCAGTTTTTGATTTCTTGAAGGTCTGTTGGTGATTTTATCGAAGGGGTTACGTTTAGTTGGAGATCAACCTTCCTCGTGCCAATGCCCCGCCAGGTATAGGTAAGAGGGACCGGGACACGTTAAAACACGTTAGGACAGAGGCAGGTGTTGTGCGCACTTGGACCGCAATCCTAAGGGTTTTTGCGATATATCTGTTCATCGTTTTCTCGGTTTTCGCTCAGTTTTTCTTTACCAAAATGTTATATTTGGAAACTTTGAGAGTAGCCAAGTCAGATTTTGGTATTGGAGTTCTTACATTTAGAGCTTGTCAAGGTAACTTATGGCATTTCTCGAACAAGGTAAAATTCATGAGCTTAGGCGCTCGCCTGATTAATTTATTCATTAAACTTGAATTAAACAATTTTCTCCTACGTCCCCTACTAAGTATTGATTTTGTCCAATAGTGTTTAGTTGTCTTCAGGAAGGTTTTTGACGAGACTAGAAAGGCGTACATTTTTACCCTAAAAATGGAGAGCCTGGGTACGAGTTTGTCGAGCGCATCACAGATCGAAGTCGGGCATTTTGGTGTCATGTGTTTCTCTTTCGTAAATATGTTGCTTTTTGACTATCGGCTTTTGTTCACACGTAGATGAAAGTTGGTAGAGGTATTTATGACTGTGGTGATGTATCGGTCACAACAGCACGGTCGGCGAGGTCAAAGAATTGATACAAGAAAGCCAGAAAGTCACATGGGATCGTGTTAACTTAGCTCATGGGGGAAATTAAGCTCGTAGCTTTTTCTCTTGGTAAGAGAATTTGCTGGTTTCCACTCGCTTTCTCTCCTTGTGGAGTCCAAGGTAAGCTTATGTTCTTGTTAAGTTTTGGTTTCATTGTTTCGTTATTGTTTTATTTTGTATACACACACACACACTGAAATTCTGTGTTAGTATCCGACGGAAGTTCGAAATTTCTTAAGCTCATTTTAAAATACTTCAAGTAAGAAATTCGAATTGCCTTACATGTATCTTTTAGTTTTGTTGTCGTTCACACTTCATTTCTTTTGTATTCCATGCAGTTCGACCAGAGGGAAAATTTTTCAGAGATGGTGTGCAAGTCAACCTACATGTACGATTGAGTAAATTTACTCCTAAATATTTTAGTGATCACGGATGGACAAAACTAAGTCCAACAGACTGTGTAGATCTACTTTTTGCGAGAGAGATATGCTGTCCAATTGTGAAATGAAGGATTTTAGCAAATTGAAATCAAAACTTGGAATAATTATGGAGAAGAGAATGCTTGATACCTGTCAACATAAGTATGTTCTGTAATCATTGGGCCATTCCATTTAATATCCACACTCTCCCTATTGAGGCATTACTTGAAACCCCCCCCTCAGATATCATTTATATAACTTTCCCCAATAAATGATATGTTGAAGACGTCTGAAGAGGTTTTGCAAGTACGAAAATTAAAGTCGCAAAATTTCTGGG